CTCAAGGTTGACTCAGCCTTCCATCCTTCCGAGGTGGGTGAAATGAGGACCCAGACTGTGGGGGCGATATGCTGACTCTGTAAAACCACTTAGAGGGGGCTGAAAGCCCTATGAAGCGGTATATAAGTCGAACTGCTATTGCTATTGCTATTGCTATATTTTATTGTTTATTTCATGTGGAAGAAACTAACTCAGGGACTTTGATTTCCTCCTAAGGGAGAATACCCGAGCATCCAAAAGAACGGAAGCAAGAAGCACGACAGTTCCTCCTCCAAGAACTCTAGGTACTGATCTGGGACAGAGGTATAGGATGGACATCCCAGCTTCCGGGACAAATATAAGCTTCTATCAGAAAGTCAGGCTACATTCGCTTTTTGGAAACATTCCTTGCTGCTGTTTCTGAAGCTGTGCCTGAATGACTTGTAAGAGTTAAATAGAGATGAAGTCTTCTTTGGGGTCCAAACACATCTTCTCCTCCCCATGCTCCTTTTGAGTGGCCAGGCTGAAGCTACCTTGACTGCCAATTCCCTTGCCATGGGTGTTTTGCTAAACAGAAACGGTGACTTTCCTCTTGGGGTCAACATTTCATCTGGAACTCCTACACCACTTGTAGCCAACCACTCTCTGAAGCAAAGTGAACTGGTGCAGTCATATTCAGAGGGCAGCCAGGGGGACGACAGCTCTCCGGGTCCAGCAGTTTTCTTAGTGCTTCCCATCATCTATGCCTTCATCTGTGCCTCGGGTGTCCTGGCCAATGGGCTGGTGATCTCAGTGGTCCTGGGCTGCAAACGGAAGGTTGTATCGGACATCTACATTCTGAACTTGGCCTTGGCTGATTTGCTCTTCCTGCTTGGCATGCCTCTCATCATCCACCAGCTTCTCCAGGAGCAAGGCTGGGTATTTGGGGACTTCCTGTGTTGGGCTGCAACTACTATTGATCTCAATAACCAGTTCAGCAGTGTGGCTATCATCACTCTGCTCTGCATAGACAGGTAAGGGCTAACCTAGGTTGGAAGGGAAAGGATGGGGTGGGTGGGGCTAAAACCTTTCCCCCCAGAGAGGTAGAACAGCTGGAGTCAGCAGCCACCTGAGTGTGAGGAATGGTTATAAGTCACTTTTTTTCAGTGCTGTTATAACTTTGCTCACTAAACGAATGGTGGTAATTGAGGACTCTTGCCACCAACTACACCTAATCCTCGACTTACAACTACAATTGAGACCAGAATTTCTGTTGCTAAGCAAGGTGCTGATTTTACAACCTTTTTGCCATAGTTGTTAAGTCAATCATGCAGTTGTTAAAGGAATCCAGCTCCCCGCGTTGACTTTGCTTGTTGGAAGCAGGCCGGGAAGATCACAAGTGGGAATCACATGGCCCAGAGATGCTGCAACCATCATCAATACATGCCAGCAGCCAAGTGCCTGGATTTTTGATCATGTGACATGAGAACGCTGCAATGGTCATAAGGAAATGGTTGTAAATCATTCTTTCAGTGCTGCTGTAGCTTCAAATGGTCCAGTGGTGGGTTTCAAAAATTGTTCGAACCTACTCTGTGGGTGTGGCCTCCTTTGTGGGAGTGGCTTGCCACCCATGTGA